TGTAAATAAATAAGTGGGAAGAGATAAAAAGGCACAGATTCTAAAATCTGACCAGGTATTTTCCTATCAAGTAACCTAAAGGAAGCCCTTAAAGCCTGTGGCCATGATGATAAGCCTCATTTTGAGGGTTCGGCACAGAAAACTGGTATGGTTTATGGCCCCGCAGAGCTTTTGCTACAGGCCACTTTTTTTTTTTTTTTTCAAGCTCAAAAAGCAGCAGTAACAATCACCATCCTCCCAGGCTAAGTATTTAGGGGAAGTTTGAGTATTATGAGGGTGATGGATTTTCAAGTCCCTTTCCTTATCATAATAAGGACAAAAAAAAGTTTGTGCCATCCACACTTGAGTCAACTGGAGTGCTGACAGGAGCCCATGAGCTGCGACCCAAGATGTTTTTCCATTTCTCTCTGGAGGAATACTATAATCTTTCATTGCCGCACAGCAGAACAAACACAACTGCTTCACAGCTTACTTGATGGATTTCACACAGTGTCATGTGCTTCATTTTCAAAGACATCTTTCCTTCCCTGGGACATGGGGAGGTTATGTTGAGGCCTGCAGGGGTGGTCTGGGCACGTTCTCCCACACGAGGGGGACTCGGCCAGCTCTCACACTCTGCCTGGGCTTTGAAGTCATCTGTGACTCTTCCAGTTTATTCTCCATATCGAATCGGTCCTATCAATCCCCCTTTTGAAATTTCTCTAGAAGTTATTGTTCTTTCCTCTCCATTCCTGTTGTCTTAATTCAGGCCATTTGATCTTTTACCCAGATTATTGTTTAAAAAAAAAAAAAAAAACAGTTTAACTGGTCTTCCGGTCTTTGACCCACTCTTCCCCGGAATCCACCCTCCACACTGCCATAAATTCACAAAAACACCAATCTGATCATATCATTCCTCCACTTTTAAATCATTTGACGACTCCTCGGTTACAAGATAAGGTCCAGAAGCACAGACCATCTAGACCTCACCCCGATTTCTAACTGGATCTCCCGCCTTATCCCCTGCTATCTTCCCCTCCTGCTCCAACCGTCATCATCTCTACCCCAGGAGCCTCAGACCCCAGATGCGCAGGTTCCGTGTTGCCGGAATAGAAAAGGCTCTCTCATGCTGCCGTGCCTTTACCCATGTGGCTCTCTCTCGCCAGGAAGGTCTCCTCACTCAACAATCTGAGAGGAGTGCAAGGCACGCGAGGTGGAAAGACAAGGAGGTGAGGGAAATGAGGGAATTGATGAGCATGACTAAAACAGCGCAGGGCTGGGTTCCTAAGATCTGGGTGCTCCATAAACACTGAATACCTGAATGGGTGAATGAATGAATTGCCAAACATGATGCCCAGGCTGCAGAGGCAGGCAAGTGAGAACGGATGGACTACTACGAGTACAGCTCCGAATTTCTTCCTACTACTCCAACCCTTTTTTCTATTTCCCTCCCCCTCCCCTTCTGTGAGACCTCCATGTTTATGTTTCTTCTCATTGGCAGACTACTATAGCACTACCACAGATGCACTTAACCATGCCATGCATCATTTATTTATTCATTCCTCATAAATCAATCCCTCTAGCCATCTGGAAAACAAGAACCACTTCTACTGCCTTTCAAGCTCCTTTTAACTAATCTTTTTAGTACGTGCTATAGTGCCTGGTACAAAATGTAGTATTTTACGCACAGCCGCACCACCGATATCAAGGACTTTATGACCTTTTTTCTGTTGTCGTTTTTGTGTACATTAGGAAATCCCAGGTGAAAACATTAAATAAAGTAAGAACAATTAAAAAGCAAAGCAAGAAAATTCTATGACTACAGAGTATAGTAAATGGACCGATTTCTGTGTGGGGCTCATAGAAAACAGCTTCGCCGTTTTATGGTCAGACCTTGTAAACCACAAGCAGTAATTCTCCTGTAAAGGCCAAGTGAAAAGTGGCAAAGGACTACTCATGTAAAAACATATTCTACAATCACAAGCAATGTCAAAATCTCGTCTGCCTCAGCTTTTGGGTCCATTAAATAGGAATAACAGATGGATACTCGCCTGCCTCCAACACCTGCTAAGAGCAATGTGAACACAAGTACTTTGGTGATATGGATGCTATGTGATACCACTTTCGATTAGAAGCAATGATGATAACTAAGCTAAACCACTCTGGATTAGCCCGAAGGCTTATTAGAAGTGGCCGGTTTAAGCTGACGGAAACCCTAACCGACCACTTCACTAGAGCCAGTGATGGCTGTTAACTGACTCGCGGGGGTTATAACTACACATAAGTGGACAGGATATACAAACACATGTGCCTTCCACAGAAGGAGGCAAATATGAAAAACCATTAAATACCAAACCATGAGTGCCTTTCTTTTATGAACTTTAAATTCAGGGGCTCTCGTCTACTGTTACTGTCTTGAGGCACCTTTACAAGATAATTTCTTATCATCCTTCTGAACCTGTGGTTTGCATACTGGTATGTTCTTCCCAAGTTGGTCACCTCCTCAGAGAGGCCTTCCCTGACCTTTCGAACTTTCTAACCTTTCTAAAATATGATCCCTCAGTTATCCTCTATTGTCATTCACTTTATTTCCATCTTGGTACTTATTTCCTACCAAATAACTTACCTTTCAAGGCCCTTCTCAAACACACCTTCTCTGTGAAATCTTTTCCAATCCTAGACACACACAAACATATAGAATGCTTCCTCTGCTGAGTTCTTATAAGAGTTACAACACTTACAATATAGGGTTATAATAGAAATAAAATAACAATAATAATGAGAGCTAACATTTTATTGAGCATTATTAGCTCGAGGCCGCGTACAATTATAACCACTTTATGTTATTATTTCATTTAATCCTGAAAACGACTCTAAGAGTTAGGTGTTCTCATAAGTACTTAATGTTTGTTTAGCCAGCTAGAATCAACTTCACGAAGGCAGGGAGGGTGCCTTAAAGCCTTGCTAATTCCCAGAACCTAGCAAAGTTTCCGCAGTGTCATATGCCTCCAAATTTGCTAAATAATAAATTCTGACATAGTTTCTTGTCCTCTGACTTTGAGAATGGCAATCCCAATCAGTTAAAGAACCAGACAGTAGTTTTAAGTAATTGTACAAATTTAATATTAAAGTCCTTTCTGACTACAACAAGAAACTCAGAAGTCAGAAAAGAAAAGGGTGATATATCTGGCTATGTAAAAATGTTTAATATTTGTAGATTTTTTTAAAGGAAACAAAAACAAAACAGAAATGGAAAAAATACACACCAGCTACGTTAGACAAAACATTAAGAATAATATATGAAGGGCTCCTAGAAAAAGGTAAGAAAAGATAATCAGCCCATCAGAAAAACAGGAACATCATATAAACAGGAAACTTCCAGAAAAAAATTTAAATGGTTCATAAACATATGAAAATACACTCAACTTCATTAATCTAAAAAAGTGAAAATTAAAACAATAATGAAAATTTACTGATTTATTTATTTTGCCTATCATAGTGTGAAGATGAAAAAATTATAATATTCAGCACCAGCAAGGCTGTGGGGAAATAAGCACTCATACACTCATGCTACAGAAATGTTCTAATATACTAATATTCTAATACAGAATAAATATTCTAATATACTTCTAATATACTATATCTAATATATAAAGATGCACACACATACACATACACAAGATTGTTCATTGCAGCATTGTCTGAAATAGCAAAAGATTGGAAACTGAAATGTACATCAATAGAAATTTGGTTAAATAAGCTATGGTACAGCTATACCATGAACTTACATGCAGTTATTGAAAAGAATGATGTTACTGGATAACCAAATAATAGATGGAGGGAACTCTCCTTCTATAAATGTATTCCAGGGACTCCTGGGTGGCTCAGTCGGTTAAGTGGCTGCCTTCGGCTCAGGCCCTGCTCCCAGGGTCCTGGGATCAAGCCTGGCATCAGGCTCCCTGCTCAGCAGGGAGTCTGCTTCTCCCTCTCCCCTGTTTAGGCTCTCTCACGCGTGCTCTCTCTCTCTCAAAGAAATAAAATCTTTTCAAAAAATAAACGTATTCCAGATAATAAAAACCCAATTATAAAAAAGGGAGAGGATTTGAACAGACACTTCATCGAAGAGCATATAAGGTTGGCAAATAAGCACATGAAATGATGCTCAACATCATAAGGCATTAGGGAAATTAAATTAAAAGCATGATGAGATAACACTACACACCAATTAGAATGGCTAAAATAAAAATTACTGAAAATATCCAGAGCTGTTGCGGACGGGGAACAAGTGGAACTCTCACTCATGGCTAGGTCAGCTATAAAACGGTACAGCCACCCTGGAAAATGGTTTGGCAGTTTCTTAGGAAGTTCAACATACATTTCCCACATGACCCAGTGATCCCACATCAGGCTCTACTAAGCAAGAAAAAAAGGAATGAATGACTTGAATTAATCTTCAAGGCACTGGCTGAGTGAATGAAGTCAGTCTCCAAGGCGACATACTATGTGACTCCATGCATATGACATTCCAGAAAAGAAAAAACTACAGGGACAGAGAATAGATCCGTGGCTACCAGGGGTTCGGGGTGGAGGAGGTTTGGCTGCAAAGGGATAGCAAAAGGGAACTCTCTGGGGTGTGGAACTGTTCTGTATCCTGTCGGTGGTGGCGGTTACAAAAGTCTCTGCATATGTTAAAACTCCAAAGATTGCACCAGAAAAAAAATGAATTTTACTGTGTGTACATAAAAAATAATTTTTAAAAAAGATAAACTGTCATCAGCAGTAATGATACCAAGGTGCCTGGGTGGTTCAGTCAGTTAAGCCTTGCCCTCAGCTCAGGTCATGATCTCAGGGTCTTGGGATTGAGCCCCGCATCGGGCTCCCTGCTCAGCGGGGAGTCTGCTTCTCCCTCTCCCTCTGCCTCTCCCCTCCCTGCTCATTCTCTCTCTCTCTCTCTCTCTCTAATAAATAAATAAAATCTTTAAAAAAAATAAAAAATAAATTTAAAAAAACAGTAATGATACCTTCTATTTCTCCATCTAAGGGAGGAACATCATCTCTCATGGAAAAATCCATAGCTGTCCCTGGAATGTCCATCAAGTCTTCATCACTGGAGCTGCTCCGGAAGCTATTGAAACTCCCCTGCTGAAAGCCTCTGTTATCCATAGCCCCTGTGCAGAAAGAAAAACAGGAGGTTTATTACAATGATCTTCAAGCTCCTTACCACTTATCCTTTTTTACTGTGGTAAATACACATAAAATTTACCATTTCAACCATTATAAACTAGAAAATTCAGTAGCATTAAGCTCATTTACAATGTTTTGCAATTATCATCGCTCTCCATTTCCAGAAATTTTTCATCCTCACAAACAGAAACTCTGTACCCAGTAAAGATAACTCCCCCGCCCCAGCCCCTTATAACTGCTATTCTCTGCCTCCATGATTTGCCAATTCTGGATATTTCATATAAATATAATCATACAACATGTGACCTTTTGTGTCTGGCTTCTTTCACTTTTCATAATGTTTTCAAGGCTCATCCATGTTCTGGCACGTATCAGTATTTCATTCCATTTTCAGACTGAATAATACCCATTGTATGGATAGACCACATTTTGTTTATCCATTCATCGGCTGATGGACATTTGGGTAGTTTTCACATTTTGGGTTACTACCAATTCTATTTTTTATTATTGAAGTATATTTGACATACAATGTTATATTAGTTTCAGGTGAACAACACAACGATTCAACAATTCTATACATTACTCAGTGCTCACCACAATAAGTGTAGTCACCATCTGTCACCATATAAAGTTATTACAATGTTACTGACTGTACTACCTATGCTGTACTTTCTATCTCTGTGACTTATTTATTTTATAAATGGAAGTTTGTACCTCTTAAATGCCTTTCACCTATTTTGCTCATCCCCCACCCACCTCCCCTCTGGCAACCACCTGTTCTCTGGATTTAAGTCTGTTTCTTTGTTCATTTTTGTTTTTTAGATTCCACATATAAGACAAATAATATGGCATTTGTCTTTCTCTGACTTATTTCACTTGGCAGAATACCCTCTAGGTCTGAGTAACATTCCATTGTGTATATATACCACATCTTCTTTCCATTCATCTATCAATGGACACTTGGGTTGCTTCCACATCTTAGCTACTGTAAATAATACTGCAATAAACTCAGGGGTACATATGTCTTTTTCAAATCAGTGTTTTCAAATTTTCTTTAAGTAAATACCCAGTAGTGGAATTACTGGGTCATATGTTATTCCTATATTTATTTTTTTTAAAGATTTTATTTATTTATTTGACAGAGAGATAGAGAGAGAGCACAGATAGGCAGAGTGGCAGGCAGAGGGAGAAGCAGGCTCTCCGCTGAGCAGAGAGCCCGATGTGGGGCTCGATCCCAGGGCCCTGGGATCATGACCTGAGCTGATGGCAGACACTTAACCGACTGAGCCACTCAGGCACCCCTGTTATTCCTATATTTAATAAAGGAACCCCCATACTGTTTTCCACAGTGGCTGCACCAATTTACATTCTCACCAACAGTGCACGAGGGTTCTCTTTTCTCCACATCCTCACCCACATTTGTTATTTCTTGTCTTTTTGATACTAGCCATTCTGAGTGGGGTGAGGTGAGACCTCATTGTGGTTTTACTTTGCATTTCCCTGATGATGAGTGATGTTGAGCATCCTTTCATATGTCTGTTGGCCATCTGTATGTCTTCTTTGGAAAAACGTCTATTCAGGGTTACCACTCATTCTTATGTCTTCTTTCATGCTCTTACTTGGACAATATAGACATGCAAACTACTTAGTATATTCAGTTACCTTTCAGATGTAATGTGCCTCTACCCTTACCATGTAGTCGACAGCCGTTTTTTTGAGAACCATGCAAATGAGCAAACCAAATGAGGACATGTGTACAAAACTCATGGGAATTCATAAGTAATCAACTGAAATAAAGCCTAGACATCAGTACTACGAAATGTACTGGCCATTTAGGAGTAGAGAAACATTATCTCATGGCTCTGACTCTCCCAGAGCTCATAACACAATGCAGATGCTCAGAAATACTGGGAAAAAGAGGCATGCTATGCTGTTTAATGTTTTTCTCTGCTCAAGAATTTAGTATTAGGGGCACCTGGGTGGCTCAGTCGTTAAGCGTCTGCCTAGGGCTCAGGTCATGATCCCAGGGTCCTGGGATTGAGCCCCGCATCGGGTTCCCTGCTCCGCGGGGAGCCTGCTTCTCCCTCTCCCACTCCCCCTGCTTGTGTTCCTGCTCTCGCTATCTCTCTCTCTCTGTCAAATAAATAAATAAAATCTAAAAAAAAAAAAAAGAATTTAGTATTAAAGATGAAACATTTCCTATATCCCAAGTGTGAATCTTCAGATTATAAATTTTACTCAAAGAATCTTAGTATATTGATTTTTAAAAATAGCATTATAGTCAACTTTACTTCACCTAGTCCTGTCCCCCCACCTTTTTTTTAATGAAATCTTGATCCAAAATCATAGTCAGCATAGTTCTTTTGGGCTTGGCAAATAATATTCCTTTTGAAGTATTCCAATTCTTTTAAGAAGCTTCTTACTTTTTTTAGGTTACCAGAATTATATACAATGAATGTGGAAAAATCAGATAGGATAAATTAAGCCATAGGGCTGGAAAATTGGAATAACAGATAACTATTTTAAACATTGAGCATAAAGGATAAATAACCAACATTTACCAGGTACTTATCAATTTTTAGGCACTGGGTTATGTGCTTAAACTGAATTCTTTCACTTAACTTTTCCCACTCCTAGTGCAGATGAGGAAACTCATGAAGCTCAGAGAGGCTAAGTATTTGCCCAGTTAATATTTCATAAAAAGTCAAGCTCTAAATCATGTGTTCGATTTCATAAGAACTCACTTGTAATAGAGACCAGCCTGACTGAAGTGTGAGTGACATTTATGAACCACCTATTATATACAAATCATCGTGGGACAGTGGGACAGATACAAAAATGAGGCTGGGTAGGCCAGATGAAGATTGAGAGACAAAGATTTGAGAGTCATCAACGTCAAGGTGATGGCTGAAACCAAGAGAACAGATATCCCAAGGGAAATCTGCCATTCACTTATGGATAAGAACAAATATAAAGAAAAGAAATGCATTCCCAGCACCCTCCCTTAATATGCACAAATAGCTTGAACTCTGTACAGACATGAACAAGAAGTTCCCCCAGGAACATTACCATGCTTACACGGTCACATATGGTCAGGTAGGGAAGGTAGGGTCATTTATCCAAAGGTACTAATAATGTACAAAATTACTGATCAGAAAACCATTTCCTCAGCTACAAGAACTCTAACCTTGCTTTGTGGATCAAGCAGGTCCTAGGATACTAAGAATCCATGCTCTGTGGCCTTAGCTGAGCTCCTTGGCGGCTGCTCACCAAACCTTCATCCTCGCTGGACTCTTTCGCCTGCTCTACTACTTCCTTCACTCACCTTCTCCGAGCACCTCCCACAACAAACGTGCTTACACAGAATGCCCTGTCTCAGTTGCTGCTTCTAGGGAAACTGACCTGCCACAGGTCCTTAGCAGTTCTTTCCTATTACTAACAACACGGAGGAAATGCTGAATTTCTCTGTCTTCCCTCATGCCATACAGGAAGAAGTGTTTTTACTTTTTATTTAAGAAATAAAAGGGGGAGGTAGGGATGCCTGGGTGGCTCAGTCAGTTAAGCGTCAGCCTTCAGCTCAGGTCATGATCCCAGGGTCCTGGGATCGAGTCCCGCATTGGGCTCCCTGCTCAGTGGGGAGCCTGCTTCAGCAGGGAGCCTGCTTCTCCCTCTGCCTGCCACTCCCCCTGCTTGTGCTCTCTCTCCCCCTCTCTGTGTCTCTGACAAATAAGTAAATAAAATCTTTAAAAAAAGAAAAAGAAAAAAGGAAAGAAAAGGGCGCCTCTACTTTGCTCTGGATCTGACTGAGATCACAGATCCTTCTCCACCTTAATCTGATTTATTTCATTTGATCCTGTAAAGAAACCTGCTATTCCTAGCTCTCATCTCTACCTTGAGCTCTAGTCCTGAATTCCCAAGAACTCTACCTGACACTTTTATTGCTACCTCAAACTCAACAGGATGAAAATGAAAAATACAGCAGAAATAACATCAACTTAAACACAAGCCATAAAATGCAAAGAAGACATGCTCCCTGCCCTCACCCTCCACATCATCTTTCCTTTTTAAATGCATTTGGCATCAGAGTCAATATTTGTAGTTAATATTTGTCTAACTCTGGATTTACTACATTCACCAAACCTACAAAAAGCACTTTATCTCAAGAGTAGGTATTCCAGGTTTCTAGAAACCTTCGCTAAAAATAAACATCATTTTAGCTGATGAGAAGAACTCAGGCTACAAGGGTAGCACAACTCAAGAGGTTTTCTTTCCGTTTATATTTACTAAATGCCCATGAATCCCATAGAGTGACTAGCACTGAAGGAAAAAAAAGGCAAGACAATTTGCAAAATAATGCAGAATCCTTTTCATCTCTCTCCATTGGTTGCAGGTTTCATTCAGGAAATGATGTAAAATACACAGTGCCAGCAACTTTACATTAGCCACACAAATCATAGGAAGAAAAAGTATGGGGCGTCCAAAAATAATTTATGTCTGGCTTTGGAATATGTCCTGTGGTCATATTTTCAGATGGGTGTACCTATTGTTCTGGAAATTCATTAAAACAAAATAATGACACTACAGGATGAGGACTCACAAAGGAGAAGCTGGAAAACTTTTCAGTTTCCCCACAGGGACCTTACGAACTCCTTCCTGTAACCCACTGACATAGAACAATCCAGCTAAATTGAGCTGCCTCATTCTAAACATTTCCTGGAACAGCTATCTGGTTCACTGTTTAGGTTATAAAGTGCTTCCTTAATAAGTACATAGAAATAAAGGGTCAACAAAAGTAATTTAGAAGTAGCATGTAAATAGAGCAAAACAGATGCTATAAATAGGAGTTCGACAAAGGAAATAAACACAATTGGTAAAATGCAAGAGTGATATTTGCCTATGGATAATCCATTCCAGTACAGCCGGTGGTTTTACTTTGCAGATACACAAAAGTTCAAGAGAAAAAGTTAAAGCAGCAGAATAATGA